CCCTTCCCCCCCCCACCAGTTTTCTTCTGGCTCCACAGTCACAATAGCCAGAGTACTGTGAGGAGTTCTGCACTGCTGCTGTTTGCACTAGGCTTGTCACAGACGGTATCTACATTAAGAATCTGTTAATTCTGCAAAAGAACAAACATTCTCAAGTAACAAGGACATGAAAGATGTGTTGTGAAGCTTATGTTGCCAGGAGAATTCCATGGATCATATTATATCGTGGTTTGCAGTGGGGCTGTTGGACTTAGATGTGATTGTTGCTGATTGCCTTAATAGAGGGAAGTTGTAGCTTAAGCTTTGTAGAATGTGTGGTTTAGATCCTCAACCAGGAGCTAAACAAACTAAAAATGGTAGCCTTGTGATGTTTGAATGGTAAATTGCGACTGGAGATTTATTTTTCTAATTCTGCGTAAGTTGGAATGGATATTAATGCTTATAAAACATATCAGTATACAGTTACCTGTATACTTTTAATGTACAGCACTGATAATGTTGTTCTTATTTTTTTAATAGAAGAATGCATTATTTGTGATTACTTTGTGCTTGTTGGAGAGCCTACAGCTATTAGTTGCCCAGTGGTTACGTTGACAGTGCTTCACGCTGAGTACAATCTGACGTGGTATAAAAATGGTAGTGCTACACCAGTAACCACAGAGAGAGACGCCAGGATCCATCAGCGAGAGGGCTTGCTTTGGTTTATTCCTGCAGCGCTGGAAGATTCGGGACTTTACGAGTGTCATGTAAGGTAAGGGAGGGAAAAGGGAAACAACCGTGTTGCTAATGTTTACAGTTGGGATAATACAATCCTTGAACTTAAGTGTACAGGCTTTTTTGGTTTAGGTAGGGAGCTTAGATCAGTTAAAAGCACTGTTTTGACCATACTTTTTGTTTCTGCATGCTGCCTTTTTTTTTTTTTTCTTCCACACATGTAGCATTGCAAAATAGCTCATACAGAAGCTTTACCTTTAAGCATGATAATATTAAGTGATCTGTGTGGGTTGGTTGGTTGTTTTGGTTGAAGTGTAAGGTCATGGAGAAAAGTATTCACTGCTTTTCCTGTGTTCAAAATGCTGTTTAATACTGACTGATCAGAAGAACATGCTGTTTTCATCGTTGAATGTGGTTAGATCTAAGGGGAACAAACTCTGTATGTTACGCAGTATCACCATGTACAGACTTTCTGAAGAGCCTAGCAACATTTTGGGAATCCTTTCAGAAAGTTAAAAGGCAGAAAACCGTTCTTAAGTTTTATTTTAAAACATTGCCAAATGTAACTGGTCAAAAATGAGAATGCATGTGAAGTGCAAAGCAGTGTGCTCAGCAGCTTCAGAGACAGTGAGAGTAACATGCCCCCTGCACTGTTCAGGAGATCCGTGTGCACAGAGAAGGAAAAAGAAATAGATTATTTTCAGCTCCTTGGCACTTTAAAAGCTCTTGCCATATTTAAAGCTCAGATTAGTGTACTGGACTTCACCACTTCAGGTGGTCAAATCTTACTTGTAATGGCTGAAATTCACCATGTGCTGAACAAGAAATTAACTTTGGTGCTCAGAAGCTGCACCAGATTTTCGTAATGGTCTTGCCATGGCACGCTGAGAACAGGCAATGCAGGCTTTTCAGGTGACCCAAAATTTGTTTTAGTAGTGTGTAGTTACACATTCTGGTGTGCATACAGTACACCAGCTACGCTGAAGGGGTTTGGGTTATGAATGTCATAAGCGATCAGCAAAAACTTCCAGTGTAGGCACAGGTCTGAGACCTTTGCACCTGCCTGCTCCAGGATCAATAATGAAGCTGAAGTTGGAGGTCAGAAGAAATGTAGTCCCTTCAAAGCTACCCAGTTATATATTTTTGATTTAGTCTTTCCTGCTGTGTTTCTAGTTACTCTAGCTACGAGATGTGTGCCACTTCTTCTGTGGGCACTGTACATCCCTGGCTTGCATCATGTCCACAGGACTAAAATCTTCCTGCAGTTGAGTTGTGTTAACTGTAGGCTATGTTTTGTGCTTTTCTTGCTTAAACCTTAATTACAGAGTTTGTCAAGGTGCAGTAGGTACAAGTTGAAGCCAGGAGTGTCAAAACATGCAGTTCACTCCTCTGGAAACTTGTCCCTTTAACATAGCATTGGGAAATGAAAAGTTGAACAGTGAATTAATAGAGTGTTCCTCTACTTCTGACTCAGGGTTCTGGCTTCGAGTGCCATCTCTCCTCTGCAGAGATCTGTCCTGCAGGTTCTTGTGAGCTGTCAGTGTGAAGTGGTTTCACACTGATACTGCACCTTGATGTGTATGTTATTGAAAAACTTGGTCTCTCTTCTGTTAAGATATTTCTGCCTGTTTTTCTTGACAATTCTGTCCAAGGAGCGCTGAGATGAGTCTGTCTTCTGTTCATTTGGCACTGAGGGTGTTCCAATGCAGATACGTGTTGGGTTACCCTGCACTACTGTGTGTTAGCAAAATGTAGCGCTGGAAATGGCAAGGCTGGGTTGGTGCTGTGGGCTCCGTAGAGTGCAGCTCTGAGTAGTCCTGCCTTCCCCTCCGCTGTTTCCAGAGCAGGCTTCGCTTCTGCTCACAATGCAAAATTCAAGCTTGTTCCCCATGTCTCCTGATCCGTAACAGGGGGTGATCAGCTGAGGGTGGTGTTTAAGAGCTAGGGGGGATGTTGCAGTGGTGTAGGCAAGGCTGGTGGAGATGCTCAAGTGCCCCTCTGTAAACTCCCCGACTTGCGGGAAGCAGGGAACTTTGTTGTTAATGACCTGACTTGTCTGCTGTTCTCGTTACAGGAGCCTTAACCAATCTAAGCAAAAAACTATAAATTTAACGGTTTTTAAGAATGATAACGGTTTGTGTTTTAATGGAAAAATGACATTTGAACAAAAAGTGAGGAGCAGAAATACTGGAAAGATTATATGCCCTGATCTAGAACACTTTAAAGATGAAGACAATAATTGGCCTGAAGTACAGTGGTATAAGGTATTGTGCATGTGTATTTCAAAAGTATGAGATGGGAACTGCTCTGTTTAAAATGTGTTATGAAGCAACTATGAAAAGCAGCTTTTGTAAGGGAAGGTTTATTTTCTTAAATAAGTAGTTTAGTTCTTAATTCTGATGCTGGTATTAAAGTAGCTACATGGGCCTGTATCTGTAAGATAACTTTGGTGCTGCACCTATACATCTTCTGGGATGAAGCGATTCTAAACTGCTTATAGGTCAGGGAAGAGAAGGAAGATGTTTTTCACTGTAGGTGCATTGCTGCAAAATGGTAATACACCCAAAGGCACGAGGCACTGCTATGGCAGCTCTGATTCATCTTACTGAAGTAGAAATGTAGGCATGTATTCTCATAAAATCTGCTACAGGCATAATCACTTGTATTACACCTGAGGTAGATAACTGCTAAGCTGTTAATTGAAGGCAGTGAACTAAAACACAGCATTTGAAAAGTTAAAGGATTGGCTGCACTGATTTTTAAAAAGTGTAAATACAGCAAGACATCACTGGGCTTCATGTTAGAGTGTAGTGGTCCTTGGATAAGAACCCACATTGTGGATTTAAAAAAAAAAAAAAAAACCAAACCCCAAATCAGTATTTGGCAAATATTGTAGTAATCAGTAGACTTCAGTAACTTAATTAGCAGATTATTAGTTCCCTTAAATCATGGGGGCTTTTTATGTATTTAGGAGTGTAAGCCTGGATTTCTTGAAGACAAGCGACTTCTTTTGGCAGAGGGTGAAAACGCTGTCCTGATTCGCAATGTAACCGTACAAGACAGAGGAAACTACACGTGCTGTATGGTTTACACATACATGGGAAGACAATATAATGTGTCACGAACCATGAGTCTAGAGGTCAAAGGTGAGTGCACTGAGGTTATTCTGTTCTCTTTTTGGCTCTGGCTAAATATTCGTACACAGGCATAAGATATTTAGCACGTTACTTTTCAGCTCTGTGAAAATAAGAGTTGCAAATCTTCCTTAATTGTTTCCTGAAAGCTAAAATTAAAATACAGTAGTGCCTGTTGCTACCCTTGAGCATTGCTTCTGAGGAAGACCTATCATGGAGAAATGAAAAATGTGGGATTAGGAATGAGAATTAGAGGGCAGCAATGGTTACTGGGGTAGGTGGGTTTTGCTAAAACAAATAATGCACCATTAAATTAAATTTTAAAAAAAAACAGAAGAATTTTTTGCTGAGACCATCACAGCAAAACACACACTTGTGTGGTCCTTTGCTTACAAAGTTCACTAGTCTCAATTGATGAGAAAGTAGATGTGACAAGCTGTATAAATACTATAAGGTTAATAAATCTTCCTCTGGGAAGGATCGGCTTACTGTTGGCACTTGGGTATGCCTTTCCGCACCTAACATGAAGCAGAACTGGCTGTCTTACCCTCCTGGTACTGTCATTTGTCACTGATCATTGTGACTGCATTTTTGTAGGCAGCATTGCTGATGGCCTGAGCAGTACCATGACAGTAATTCTCTCAGAAAAGTTGGCTGGAGGTAGTGTCCGTCTTTCTAGATGAAATCAAAATTCTGACCTTAGATAGGTGATGCAAGAACAGTGGGTTGTTAGCAGCGAGACCATGTATCGTGCAAAAGGATTCCAGCTCAGTTTAGGTGGGTGCTTGTTTAGTCTTCTACTTACAGATATTCTATTTTATCTAGTGAATATCTAGGAGGTCTGACAAAGTTAATGGCAATTTTTTTTTGTTTGTTTTCTGGTGTTGTATTACTTTTATATCAACTGCCAGTAAATTTGAGACTTTTTTTTTTAAAGTACTTTTAAGGTAACGTAAAGCCTGCTGTTAACTTGGAAGCTAAAATAGAATAATTGGGATAGAGTACAGCAAATCTCATGAGATATTTTGTAAATCTGAAACTGGTAGTAAGTGTGGTGCTACAACAGCACCAAATGATAAAAGAAAACCATTGTAAAACTAGCAGTTGAAGTAAGTTGTGGAACTCTCCTTGCCTGAAGACTTTGTTTTTCCCTTCGTTTCTGTTAGAAAGACCGCCGCAGATGAGACCAGAGTTTATTTATCCAACGAACAATACAATTCAAGTAGAACTTGGTAAGTAGCGGCTATTTAAGAAGTCATTAACATTCAGTAAAACAAATTAGCTCCTGGTCTTCCTGAAATAACACATTAATAGCTCCACTGACTTCAGCAAAACTGGGAGGTAGGTATGTGGATTGAGGATATCTGGCAGACAGATGGTAGAACATGATTCCCACAAGTAATTTGTGCAGAGAGTAACTGTGTGTCTAAGATTGGAGTCTCTTGGCCAGCAATGTCAGGTGGGATGCGTTTATTTACTTGGGGTTTTTTATTGCCATCTCTCCTTTGTACCACTTTGCAGTGTCTATGTCTTGACACATCCTCAGTATTTGTGGAAATATGGTTACATATATGTAACCTGTTAGGATAGTTACCAGTTGATCAGTTCAGTAGTTTGTCATCCTCCTATATGTTTCCTGTCTCACCTCCCTCTCCACAAGCTGGATTTTACTCCTCACTCTAGCATATTAAAAGGTTTCACTTGCTGATCTTTTGTGAAACAGTGAAGTTGCTAGTTGATGGATATCCAGGGTATTTCTTATTTAAGAAATTTCTTAAATAAGAGATTCTGGATATAAGCAATAACTTTTTCCCAGGCCAGGCAGTGCAGCAGGCTACCCAGAGTGCAGCCTCTATCCCTGGAGGTTTCAAAACCTGACTGGATAAAGCTCTGAGCAGCCTGGTCTGACCTCAGAGCTGGCTCTGCTTTGAGCAGGAAATTGGACTAGTCCCAAAGTCCCTTCAATTATTCAGTGATCCTGTTGGCAAGATATCTGGTATGCAAGTCTTCTCCTGACCAAACCTATACATGTTTAGATTGAACCATGTATCAGACAGTTGTGTTCTACTGATGTAGCCCAGAAGAATGAGTTTTGAAGCTGCGTGAACTGTAGTTTTTTTTTTTTTTCTTGTTTTGCACCAAGGAGAACAGTTTCAAACCAAGTATTTGATTAAAAAGGGCATTAACTGATTTTGGAGAAGTAACAAATACGGACCATTATTTAAAAGTTGCTGATTTATCATTGGATGCCTTAAGGCAGCTAAGATGAACAAACCCATCTCTGACTGCCTTGGAGAAGGCAGTCACGCATGCGACTAAAAGGAGACACAAAACCTTTGCCCACGAAGTGGGTTTATTGTGGCTACTGAACAACTACAAATGATTCCCTACTACAGGGGAACCCTTTAAATGAAGTTGAAGTTTGTTGGTTAGTTTGGTGGGTGTGTTTTGGTTTGGGGTTTGGTTTGGTTTTGTTTTTTTTTTAAGGCACTGACATTCAAAAGTAGTATTCTCTGTCTGGTACCTTTAATGGGATGCTGGGGGAAAAAAAAAATCTTTGCTAGTGTTAAATGCCTGCCTGTGGGGCAGAACCTGAAAAAATATGTATGCACCTGGAAACACCTGTATTTTTGAATGAAAAATGATGGGAGAAGGCTGTGCAGAAACTTAACAGTACATTTATGATTTTATAGAAACTGAGGGCATGGAATTAAGCACTGATATTTCAGTTTTCTTCCTTTTGAAGAGCTGTTCAATGCACTGAACCACGTGTTTTATTGTGGTGGAAGGATGTGAGGGAAGAGATTGGGGAACAACTGTGATTTCTATATGAAGTCTTGTTCAAGTAACTGCTTTGCATGTGAGCTAAAGGTTTATTCCATACTTTTGATAGAGACTATCCCTTGGTGGAAGCATCTAGATCTGATGTGGTTCTAGGAAATGAAACACTGAGATCTTTACATAGGTGAACTGAGAGCCCACCTTCTATCAAATCATAACTTCCATGAGTAAAATACACAAGGAAAGGACTCCAAGAAAGCTGCTTACCTTCCTCTAAACGGAGCCCTCTGAGGTACATTGGCAATAAATAGTGCTGCACCTTGGCTTGCTGTCTTAATCCTGAGGCATTGTGTAGGATCTGGACTGTTGGTGGCAGAGGAGCCGAGTGACAGGTGAGCTTGCTTTGGGAGCAGAGTGTGACGGTATTCAGAAACCATCCCAGTGGACAATGTTGGCCAAAAGACTCTGATCTGGAGTAAAGATATGCACGGTCAGCAAGAATGGGATTCATCTCCAGGGTGTAGTTGTCTACACATGGATATCTACACATGAGCTAAAGGCCTTAATTCATGCTGTTATCAATGGGGGCTCAATTCAGTTGCCTACACATAACTGTCTAGTGCTATTTTGGGTGGTCTGGCTACTCAAGCAGTGCAGGCTTCTTGGAGATCTGAAGTCCTATCTGCCAGCTCCATATGGATGCTTTGGATGCTGGAGAGCATCTCATGTACATGCAACTGATTTGAGCCCTGAGATCTGTCAGTGGAGCCTGGAGAGCCATTCACTTGATAAAGTCCAGGCATCCAGTTTAATGTGAGCAGAGTACAGCACAGCTGTACTGTCACGAGATTAGACATCTAGCTCATGTGTAGACATGAATGTTTAGACACCTACATTTAGGGTGGAATTTATATCCAGATTGGAAACACCCAAGTGCAGATTAAAAATTGATGAGTTTTAAGGACTGCTTTTCATAAGGTAAGTGGATTTTTCAATATCCCTCCTTGTCCCAGCTGTTTCCTAATCACTTGATCCTGCTTCTAGGCCTTCAACTGACGTATTTAAATGTTTTTTGTAGGCTCTCATGTAGTTATGGAATGTAATATATCAAGTGGCATAAATGGCTTGATTCCATTCTGGCAAGTTAATGATGAGGATGTTGATAGCTTTGATAGCACCTACAGGGAACACTTTTATGAGTAAGTATCCTTAATATATTGAATTGTAAGTGCATTTCTAGGTGAAGTAATCTGCAGTAATTTGCAGTGAATTCACCATGAAGTTGACTACTAGTGAAATGTCGGTGGTCATTGAAAGACTGATTAGAAGTCTGCATCATATATATTAAATGCTTGTTGTTTGCTTTAAAAAAAAAAAAAGTAATCAGTATTTATAGTAAAATGTTTATCTGATACAAACGTCATGAAGCGATCATATGTAGGCTTTTGTAATGCTATTGTGAAATATAATTTTGTAAGGCTTATTTATGCATTTGTTCTTGTGTGATCCTTTTTGCTAATAGACTAAAGCCTGCCCTCTGTCATTAATATGGGAAGGATGGATTGTTCCAAGACACAAAATCACACCACTTACTTGTATTTGTGAAGTTGGTCCTTTTCTAAGTACAGGCACAGCTGCTAATCCTCAAGAGCACAAAGCAGAAGCTCTTGTTGCAGGATAGTTAGTGGAATTTTTTTTTATAATGTTCAGGAAATTAAACACAAATTAAGCTGATAAACCCAGCAATTTCTTTCAAGAGAGCAAGACTTTTGTTGTTCAGTGACTGGTCTATGCTGTAGCAGAGTGTGGATGTACTGTTTGCTTTCTCATTGAATCAATCACTGCTGTTAATTATAACCCTGAAAATGTAGTGGAAAGAAGAAAGAAAAAATCTCAGCTGATCGGTTCACACTTGTGCAGTGACAGCAATGCTGTCTCCACTAAGTGCCGTCATCAGTGTGAAACATGGCTAGAGAGTTAGGTTGCAGACTGCTTTTAAAATTATCTTTTTAATTCATCTGTATCTGGTCTCTGGAAGGAATCTTAGTTCTACTTTGTCCCCAAGTTCCTTTAGGGGGAATTACTACTTTTATTACAGATGTGTATACTTGATTGTTTGCCTATAAATATTAGGGCCCTAGCTTAGAATCATAGAATAGTTTGGGTTGGAAGAGACTTCTCAAGGCCATCTAGTCCAATGCCCCCTTCAATGAACAGGGATGTATTCAACTAAATCAGGTTGCTCAGAACCCGGTCCAACGCGACCCTGAATGTTTCTAGGGATGGGGCATCTACTACCTCTCTGGCCTACCTGTTCCAGTGGCTCACCGCTCTCAGTCTTATGTCTATGTCATCTGAATTTACCTCTTTTTAGTTTAAAACCATGTCATGCTTTAACTCCGGGTAGCAAAATACCA